TACAGACCCCCCCCCTCTAAAATCAATTCTCTCCTGGAGAACGTCTTCGTGAGCCTCTCATGATTTCAGGATAGTTGAAACCCTCTTGAACATTTAGAAAGAGTGAATATGAAATTCTAATCACGAAAGGTGTTCCCCGAGGGGATACATACCTAGAGTTTGTTTTGTGAAGCACGTCAATTCTCTCCTGGGGAGCGTCTTCGTGAGCCTCTTATGGTTTCAGGATAGTTCAAATCCTATGATGTTCCGATTCAATGCTCACCGATGATCTGAGCCATGGGGCAAGTTTGTTTTCCTAAGAACCTTTTTGAACATTTCGAGAGCATATGTTTGAACATTTAGAGTGCATATGAACATTTACGAAAGGTCGCCTCCGAGGGGATAAATCACCATGTCGAACATTGCATTTTGTTCCTGCCCCTCGCGTTCTCTTCTCTTCCCGCTGTCCTACCTTTCGTGTCTCCCTCCTCTCAAGTGGAGATTCTTCAACTTGTTGCCCTTTAGACTGTGCAGCACGAAACAAAACAAATTTGGATCACTGGAGCAGACAAGTCAATTATAAGCCTGAATCTGTGTGAAAGTCATCGCGGCAGCGCCTTCTTGCACGCACATTTTTTGTCACTGATGTCAACTGTATGACTTCATTGAACTTGGCTCACTCACATTATGTGTTGGCAGTTTCACAAGCTCAGAATGAAAAGGCGAACACATGACATTGAAACTATCAATGCGTGTTGTTTTTGTTACATGTACAGTAAAGTCACTTTGTATTCCATGGTCAATGGTGGATTCCATCCATGGCCGAGACGAAACACACAGCAGAGATGACAAAGATAAAGTATTTGGGTTTGAAATGTTGTGTTTGAAAAGAATCATTTTTCCAGAAACCTTCATGTCCAAATGTGGCCATGCCTTGGCCAAAGCCAGCCGGCAGCGGTGTTCAGCTTGCCAAAGAGCTTCGCAATCGTCAGGTGAGGCATGCTACATGAAAACGCTAATTCAACCGATCACTCGTGCAAAACAACAGAAACTGTTGGCTTCTGTATTGTGTGCAATTGATATCCTAGCAACGTGGATGCTGTGTAGCCTGGCTTTCATATGATCTGCCAGATCAACCTCTCCCGACCTGAAGTTGAGGGATTGCTCACAGCTTTGAGTCGTGCTCAACAAGGACCAGGGTCTCAGTGCAACTCCAAACAGTTTGACATTTTCGAAACCGTTCCATTAATGTTAACAGCTAATACTAACAGTCACTTTGTAAACTATCTGCAGCAGCTGGCATTTTATGTCAGCCTTGAACTCTTGCAGGCTTGGCCGTTTTAGGTGCCAACAAGGATTCAGAAGCTGTTGGAGATGCATTCGAAGACATCGAGGTTCTGCTGCAGCAGGCCAGTTCCCGGAGCCGATCCAAACCGATGAGTGAACTGGTTGAGTTGGGGGACCTCTCGACGCTTCGAGAAGAGGCCTTGGAGGCTTTTCGTCACCAGGAGAAGATGTCTCTCAATGAAGCTTTGGAGCAGGGCGCTGTGACTTGTCGCCGTAGAAACTGCAAACGACGCCACGACAATACGACCTCAGGGATCTTGGGTTTAGGTTTCTGCAGTGTGCAATGTGCTGCCAGAGAAAATGAGAAGCAGCAAAAGCTCCTCGAGAAATACACAGATGAAGATGGCATGTTGCATCCTGAAGGTCTTAGTGAACTAGACTTGTCCTGGATCACACAGTATGCCGTCGGAATGGTTGGCGGGATGGCACGATTGAGACTACTGGTCTTCAACGAGGACATTGCATTTCGTCTAACCTTCGAGCATTGTGCACGGCAAGTTGAGGAGATGGCAGGATCTTCTTTGGATGGAGTGCGGAATTTTTTCCGAGCTGAACAAGAGAGGCTCGCAGTTCTGGTAGGTGCCAAAAGCAGTGTCACGCATTGGCAATTAGTCCAGCCAATTTCACAAATCAAATGAGGCAAACCTAGAGAGAATCGATTTGCAATGCATTTTGAAAGTTGACACTTCCGCTTCTACTTGTAGGCCTATTTTGGCGAGATAGTCAGATTTGATTAGGATCCCGGAGAGGCGGAATGCTTCATCAACTCAGACCACTCGAGACCTGCAGCTAAACTACCAGGCAGCACACAAAGTTTTTCCGGCGGCTTGGAGCATTGTACAAGCGGCTGCAGGGGATGCTGGCTTGCCCAAAGATCCACCTGCAGTCATGTTCGCTTTTGCCAATGCTGGACAGATCATGAGACGGACTGCGTGTGATGCCACTGATCGTGTGTCCATCAAGGAGTGGGATGAAAGATGAGCAAAGGTTTCGCATCACATGTAGCCAGGTAGCAATGTAGCAATAAGTTTGGAACGAGTCGTGTGTGTTCTTGTGTTGACCCGAGGACTACAGCAAGACATTAGACTTTCTGCGCTTCAGCATCATTGTTCCAGAGGAAGATGTCTGGCAAATGTGTGAAGTGTATGAGCGGTTGATCGCCAGGGGCATTATTACGCTACGTGTTGCCAGCAAGCTTGCACCGAGCCTTTGCAAGCAGTTTGATGTGGATAAGCTAAACGGAAGAATCTCAACCGATGTTGCAGTTATGCATTATTGTTACTTTTTCTAAGGAAAGCATACTATGGAGAGCACTCCATGTATGTGCTGATAAATTGCAAGCTGCAAAGCACTGGACACATTTTCGAGATCCGATTGTGCTTCCGCTGCTTCCACCACTTGGAACGGAGTTTGCGCTGGATGTGTGACTGGCGGCAGCTCCTGAGACCAAAGCACCACTTCCTGCCGGGTGAGGAAAATCACTACAAGGGACAGGTGTGCGACAAGGAGCCGAACCACGTTTTTTGCGTCACAACTTCGATCATTCGATGTAATGAAGACCTCTTAAGGGAAGAAACATGTAAGACAAAGATGACAAGTTAGGGGAGACGGACGGCTCAGTTCCTGTTTGTGCTTGCAGCACTTGGCTGACATTCAGGATGGAGAAGTCAGCGAAGTCGAAGCGGTCACGCCCAAGTCTGAGCTACCAGGCAAGCCGCATGGGGAAGGTCAGATGTTCTATGCCGATAGTGGGGACCTGTATGAAGGTCAGTGGCAACATGGCAAGAAGCATGGCCGTGGTTGTCAGCAATACGCAACAGGTGATACCTATCAAGGCAACTACGTGAACAACAAAAAACATGGCCAAGGAGTCTATCGCTACGCAGATGGCGATTGCCATGAGGGCCAATATTTTGAAGGTCGAAAGCATGGGCCCGGTTTGTATTGGTATTCTGACGGCCGCCTTCTCATGTCGACATATGACCAAGATGAGCAGACAGGTCCTGGTATTGTGTGGAGTGCTAATGGTAGCCAAGCATGGCTCACAGAGTCGGGAACACAAGTTGCCGATTTGGATCTTCATACTGCAGAAGAAAAGGCCAAGAAGCTGGGCTTTGAGCCTCTGACATTGCTTGGAGGTTTGATGTAACTGTCTTCAGTCTTCAGAGCATGCGGCTTTGTCAATGCTGCAAGATCAGTTCGTGACCTGGGTGGCATTGAGCAATATTTTTGCATTTGTTCAGTCTCGAAAGGATTCTGAACGATCCCGAAATCGAAGCAGCCTGGACACAATTTGCAGCCAAGGGCAGTGTGTTACATGTCATCCTCTACTTAGTGAGGACGGGAATACCAGTGCGGTTCAGTGAATTTACCTCAGACCCGCAAGCCGTGGAGAGTTGTCAAAGTGCAGCCACTCTTTCTTTTCTTTGGCCAAGCCAATAGAAAAGCCGAGCATGTTGTCTCAAGCAAAAAGTGTTGTCCTTTGTCGATTGACATAGTGGAAGTGTGAAAAATATCGAAGATGTTCTTCTTTTTGGATGGGGAAGCTCTCCAAGATAGACGTGCTGTGTAGCTCACTTTTTTTGGCTGAACGTCTTGAGAAGTCCAGTTCCAAGAGGCTTTGATCGATAGCCAGGGATTGATTTGGAGCAATGGCCTAGCCCACAATCAGACCATTTTCTTATGGGAAGTGTATTCCTTTGGTGTAGGTTGGAGGCCATCGCTATTAGGTTGGAGGCCATCGCTATTACGTTTCGCTTTGTGGCTTTCTTTGGGTGAATGTGCTGAACACACGCCATCAAGAGCCATGGACATCTCGCAAATGTCTGAAGAGGCGCGCTGTTTTGCTGAGCACTTATGCCTGCGAGGTCCCTTCAATCTTGTTGGTGGCCACTCTGCTGATGTGGTCAAAAACCTGTTGTGAGTGAAGTGGCGGCATGGCTCACAGAGAGCCATTGTTGTGAGCAGAATGGAGTAAGCTGAAACTACAGGCGTAGAGGAGTTTGCTTTGGGTTGGCAGGGAGCTGTTGTGAAGCCACTTTGCTGAAAGAATTGGGGAACTTGAGCGTCTGAAGCTGAAGTTGCCAGGAGCAGCTGCAAGCTGCGATGCAGCTCTCACTCCAGGAAGCTACATCAGCTCCCCAGGCTGAGGCTCCAATCTCCCGTTTGCGGAGTCGATTCATTTGATTTGCGTGGGCCGCTTGAGACGGGGAGGAGCGGCTGCGCCCCAGTGGGCCATCCCTTCGCAGCTTTCCGGGCAAAGACGCGCAGGACCAAGGGACTCAGAACAGAGATTGGACGGACAAGAGAAGCGATGGCCTCCAACCTACTAGCAAAAGAAACCTAATAGGAATGGCCCCCAACCTATAAGCGATAGCCCCCAATCTAGAAGCGATGGCCTCCCTCTTGCATAGAACTCAAGATGAGGAGTTCATGGAATATGCGCTAGGACGTGCTTCCGGCTCTTTCACGTGCCACTGCCAAGAAGCAACGCGGAGAACCACGACGAGCCGGTGAATCAGATCTGGAGCAAAAGCAAGTTTCAGATGCTTGCAGGAACGCAAAGCACACCCTAAGAGGTGTAAATATGAATACATACTCGCGATGGCTTCCAACCTAAGAGCGATCGCCTCCAACCTACTAGCGATGGCCTCCAACCTAGCAATTATGCACAGACTCTTGGTGTGAAGACACACGCTGTGCGTCAGGCATGAAACGCCAAACCACAGACAACCGCTCTGACAGGGCGGGCTCGAGTTTAGAAAAGGGCGCGCGGTGCGGCGGTTCATTCCGCCACTTCGATCGACTTCGTTCGATTGCTTTTTCCACCTGGTCGCTGACTTCGTTCGCAGCTACCTGATCTTCATATTGGTAGCGGAGCCCGGTCGCCCCGGGCTCCCTGCCGAGAACTCCGCGAGAACGACGAGAAGGCTCAGGATAAGCCCTACGTCAAGGTCGGATCAAAGAGCTCTATCTTCCTGTGTTTGTCTCGTTCTGGTCTTCCTCCTCGGCTATTTCATCACCCCTGCCAACCAGAAAGACATTGAGGAGCACTTTGATCCAATGCCACCGACATCGAAGAAGACGACGCAGGCCACTG